ATGGACGAATTTTGTCATGAAATTTGGTGAGTATTTAGAGCATATCCTGAGCTTTAAAACAAGTGATAGATCACATGAAATGGATATGTATGCTAAGAGTTATGGCTGTTCAAAGTTGAGGCAGGACTTCTGGAAAACACTGTTTTCACCAAATGAACCGTAATCTTTAATGAATAAACCGTACGAATTGGCAAGGTTTAAGTCTAGATTGTTATTTTTTCCTTATAGAGAATTGAAAGAGCTTTATGTGAAAATTGGAACCACTCCGTTTTGATTTTTTATAGAATTAGTTATAATTTTTCAAAATTGGACCTGAAATATGAATTTAAGTAGTGAATAGTAATCCGAGTAGTTATGTTGAAATTTTTAATCCACGGGCTTGTATTTTGACATGCTTAAACCATAACGCTTACGAATGCATACTCTAAGGAGTTAAAGGTAAGATGTTTTATTGAAAGTGAGATGTGTTCTCATTATCCACACCTATTTGAGGATTGATGTAAGCGTGTATATACATGTTTTAAATTGGAGGACTGAATTTTTCTTAAAGGGGAGAGAATGTAATAACCTAACAACTTTTATAACAAATTAAGCAATAATTATATAAATTGTTTTAGTGTAAGTACAAAAAGAATGTGGGAGATGGTTAGCAGTGAAGGGTGCTAAAAGGTTAGAGGTCCCAGGTTCTAATCCTCCCTTTTTTCAAGAAAGAATTTCATTTTTTTCAATTTTATAAAAGTTACTTAGATACTCTTTAAAAGAAAAAAGAAAAAGAAAAGAGATATTAAAAAATCAAAACATGGCATCAAATATCTTATGATGCCATTTCTTTTTTAGGGGCAAAAAAAAAAAAAGCAGGGTACAAGGATAGAAGAAGGTTCTTGATCTTGGAACTGAAACCAATTGTCCTTCACTCTTGTCTGATTTCACCGTCACCAACGTTCACCACTGCCATCATCTGCTTCATTCAAGGTTGGTTTTATTGTTCTTCTTCTCTCAGCTAACACTGCCATCTTCTTTTCCTTCTTTATTTTCAGTTTGTGTGTTTCTTCTTCTTCCTCCTTAATTGGTGCCATAGTTGAATCAGAGGAGGGGAAAAAAGTTTCTGATTTTTAGGCACTTTAGATCTCCCTTCGCTACCATTTTCCCCCTTATTTCTTCCATTTTCTTCTTCCTGTTGTCATCATGAATTGGGGGGGAGTTTATGATTGCTAAGGTATGTGGTTACAGGGCATTTCAAGCTCTACTTCTCCTCCTTCTTTCTCAACTGTAGATGTTTTTTTAGAAAGAAGAAAGTTTGGGGGCTATCTTAAGAGAAGCATATTGAAGAGGAAGGATTCTATATGTTGATAACAGGGTGATTTATAGTACTTGATTGGAAGTATTATTTGAAGCTTGAAACTCGTTGGGTGCTATTTATTTTGATCTATGAGATGAATTTAGTTAAGAAGGAAACTTGAGATATTTTTCTCAGGTTGTGTGGATGTTTGTTTCATGAAACAATCTTGAGTGCCCGTGGCTGTTTGATGAAATGTCTACATGAGCAAAAGAATTGCTTGATAGGTGTTCATATAACATTTTGATGGAAAAGAGCAAGATAGATATTATTTTGGATTAATTATGATTTAATTTTGGTTTTCAGGAGATGCTTGAGTAAAATAAGAGTTGGCTGTTCTTGTGGGTAGAAAATTTGAAGGTTATGGAGTTTTACGTTGTTATTGGAAAGCAAGGGAATTATAATTTATATGTTATGATTGTCGACTATTAGCTAATCTTTGGATATTTTTGACATGGTTGGGCTTGTTAGAGCTGTGTGAGATTGTTGATAAATGATTTAGAAGTATATAAGTTTAAGCTAGAGTGTTAAAAGATTGATTTTAAGTAAATGGATACACTTTGGTAGAAGATTGGTTTTTATAATATAATGTAAGGAATGTAATGGTTGGTGTGATGATAAATTGAAGGGCCATTGTGATACGGTATAAAAATGTTTAAATGAAACATTTTGGAATTTTTATAAGTTATAAATGGGGTATTAATAATGTTTTGTTTTAGGACACCAAGGGATTAAGGAGTGAGAATAAATCAAGGATGTGCAAATTGGAATGAGTTTTATTTTAGGAGTACAACAGGTGAGTGAATAGTGTCCTATTATTATAATTTTTTTAAAAAAGGAAAATAATAATAAAATAGGCTTTTACTATTTGTTATTAATTTAATTAATCTACTAGCTTCTTTATTAAATGGTCTATTAAGGTGGTTTAACTTATCATTTTTCAATCTTACTTATTTAATGTTTTAACGTTTTATTGTTTGGAGGAATATTTTCTCTTCTTATATACTGATTAAAAGTTCTACTTACAATTTGTTAATCTGCATTTTTTTAATAAATATTTAAACTTGGAATTTGGAAAGGAGTTTTAAAAATATTATTTGAAAATCTTCATGCTAGGATCATCTATTATAAAATATTTTTTAAAAGATTCCATTAGTAGAAATAATATATATATTTTCCTCTAGTTGTTAGTAACAAATCGATTCTATGCATACTTCTGCATTTTTTTTTAAGAGGAGTGAATACAAAACACTAGTCACTAACAGCAGCACTATTAGTCCTTGGCGCGCCATGGTAATTTCGAGCTCGCTTGATATTCGGGGGCATAGTTCCCGTGCTTGTTTTGTGACTTCGGCTACACTTGTTTCGTGGCTTTGGCCATGCTTGATTGGTTACTTACCCTCGTGAGCTATGTCCATGCTTGTATTAGTGGCTTCAAGCCGCGCTTGCTATTCCGTTATGTTAAAGCCCTATAAAAAGATTAGGTTTGAGAAATATTATTTTGTAATATTTTTGTGTAACAAACTGTTATATTATAAATTTGAATTTAATTGTTTAATGAGTTCGGGTATATATTTATCTTTTAATTTAAGATTGTATACTATGGAAAATTTAATTCTTTTCCATATGAATGTGATCATTCAAAGTTAAATTTAATTTTATTGCATTCATTTGTTAGTATTTTAGTAAATATTATTAATGGGACGTTATTTATAGGTAGATTCTTTTATTGACTTCAAACAACACTATTGACCCTGTACCTTTAGCTGAGTAGTGAAGAGTCTCATTGAAGATCCAAAACTCATGAATTTATTTTGAGTAAATGTTAGCTAATTTAAACATAAAAGTATATTTATATCTTTATTTTTATAATTAGATACTCCACGTAATCTATGATTAGGTCTTGGTCTTTTTGGTTATTTTGGAATGTAGTTATATATACTGGTGCCAGGAAGCAAAGCTCTAAATATTGTTTGTGACTTGCAGGCTATTGTAGAATTTTTAGGAAGTCTAATTTACAGTGAAAATTCTACCAAAAATTCCTACAAATGGCTTTATATTTTGAATTACAACAATATGTGTAAGTATATGACTGTTTTGTCCAATGAGATGCTTCTGTTTATGATTACCTTAAAAATGTTTGTTAAACAATTGTCTATATATGTTTAGGCTTAGGAATGTGAGGTCTCTCATATTCTGTGCCGGTCACCTCCAAAGTTGGGGCGTGACAACTATAAAAACTATTTTGAAAAAAATAGATAAATATGATAGACAAAGTAGATTGGAGGGATGGAAACCTTTGTCAACCACCTTGAGATTCTTAATCAAAAATAAATCCAAATAATACAATATAGCACAACTTGGATCGTTCACTTTGAGGAGTCTTTATTTGCAATCCTAGGCTAACTAAGTATCAAAAATAATAAATTGACAGGAAAAAAAGGTTTTGGGTTTTGAAAATTAATTTTACTTTATTTAATATTAAAGATGTAATGGAATAGATCTAAACTATTATTTTTTTTATATTTTCTTTTATAAAAGTGGAATGAGAATGGATATGATAAAATGTATTAGATGAATGCTTCTTGAAAATACATTAATAACCTTCCTTGTTCAAAAGATTTTGGGAGTTAAAAACAATGTACTAAGTCTTGATCAAAAACCGCAAAATACTATTTGCGTCAATCTTAATTAGTGATTATTCCTACTATCCTAGTTAATAAACACCTCTTAAGTTGCTATTTAAAACCACTTAATGTGTAAGTGTGATTAATTCAAATAGTTTGTTTCTTTAAAGACTAACATTCAACATTAATAGAGTACTCAGCAGAGACTCAAAAACAAGCTCAATTCAATGGTATTATCCACACTACCATGCCAAACAATACAATATCAATGAACCCACCACTACAACAAGATATAGCTTTTACCTCCCTTCTTCTCGTCTGTTTTAGAGAATAGAGGAGAAAAATTTGTATTCTCTTCTGTTTTGAAAAACAGACGAGAATATCTAAATATTCTCGTCTGTTTTTTTAGATTCAGACGAGAATGAGTGATCTTCTCGTCTGTTTTTGGAGACGGACGAGAATACCCCCAATATTCTCATCTGTTTTTTGAAAACAGACGGGAAGCATTAATTTTTTTTAAAAATTATTTTTTAAACCCTAACTATGAAAGACACCCACTCTCCGTCTTGCTCAACTTTTCTCTCTAGCACCCACACAAACTGCTTGTCCTCCCTTGGCCCCATAGCCCCATGACACACGACGTTCAAGACGATTCTCCGTGAGATTTTCTCCTCCATAGCTCGACGTCATTCACTATGTTCACTATGAGCGCCGTTTTCTTCTCCAACTTGAACGTCTTCTGCTTATTCTGAGCTAGACGTCTTCTTGCTTGCATCTCCTAAGTCGTCTTCTTGCTCGCATCTTCGATGATCACTTTACGTCTACGGGTAGCTTTTTTGTTGTCGCCTTCTCTTTCTGTGTTTTGTTTTTCATCTTCTTTTAATTTTGGAAACTACTGATGGGGTCTAAACAACTGAACCCCAAAAATTTTGACTCAAATTTGTCAGCCACTAAGCTCTTCAGCCTTCGCATCAAACTTCACCGCTTTATCTTCTTTTTGATTGAATGTTTCTCAATGTGGGTGTTGCAGAGTTTAATTTTTCCTTCCTCTTTCCCTGTGAAGTGACAGCCGTTTGTCAAGTAAGAGAGCAGTTAAAGTGTAAAGTTAACTGAAATTTGAAAGCTAACGAATCCATTTTGGGTATGTATTTCTTTTCTTTGTTTATTGGTTGTTCAGAGAGGAAGAAGGATTTGGGTTTTCTTTTGCTTTGATTTTAATTTAAATCTTGTTAAAGATGAGAATCAAAAAGCTTTGCAATCACGAAGCTCTGTAATCTCTCTAACTTTGTATTCCCATACTGAGAACAAGTGAGATAACTTTGATTTATGTTGCTTTGGTGCTAGGTGGACGATGCATGTTGAATATGGACCACCATTGTGTTTGGTAGTTAAGTGTGTTGGTGGTGTAAACTAGAAGTATTTTCTTCTGTTCTCGGTATGGGCACCCTAATAAATTCGTTACTTTGTGTCAATTAAAATGAGTAGCTAGGATTTCTTAACTGTATTGATCATATTCTGTCTTTAACATTTTGTAAGACTGAGGCATTAATCATGCGATTTCTTTTTAAGTAAAACAGTTGTTGTAGTTATGTGCGTGGCACCTTTATCATAAAACTTCTGGCTCTTACATAGAAAGCTTGTGAAAATAAGGGGTCGGTAACTTGAAATGGACTTGCTGATCAAGTGTACCAATTTGAAGTGCCTGACTCCACCATGCGTTCTTTGATTCTGCTTATAGTTCTATTGTAGATTCTGATTTTACACCATGACAATGCTTTAGTGATGCCTACAAAATGTGCATACAGTTTAGGACAATTGCTATTATATATGTGCTTTTGTGTGCCATCAGGATAAAAATTCTGTAGTTTTAGTTTCATGACAGCAGTCTTGCTTTTATAGAGTTAATCATGCTGACTTATTTGAAACTGACAATAACAGAACCAATTGCAAAATTTTTCATCATCCGCAAAATGATAGAAATGATTTTGTGACCCTCAGGAAATTTGTAGTCTTAACTCTTTGACTCGTTGAAAAAGCAAGTTGACTTTTTTGCACTTTTCAAATGCCTTTTTAAATGTCAATCTGTACGTTTGTTTTTTGGAGTTAAATATTAACATTACTCTTGTGAAATTGTGGGGAAAACTTATTTTTAGTCTTTTTTTTTTCTTTTTAACTTAATGTCAATGACTAGATTCACTTTGACAATTTTTTTCTTCAACAGAAAATGACATCATTCTAATGAGTAGTAGGGTTTTTGAGTTCTCTAGGATTATGTATAACTCATCGGTCTAGCGACATTATTATGGATTCACAAGCAACATTAAAAAAATATGGACTTGCATCTGACAAGATGAAGGCCCATGCATGAGGATTAACTTGTTTATTTTTTCTGCCTACAAAATTGCATTAAAATACCAAGGCATGAGATCTTTCCAAGTGGTTATTGGTCATGCTAATTAATGGGATGTCTAAATCTGTGGCCCTGTACCCCTATAGATGCCATTGAAATTGAATCTTTCATGAATGGGCAAGATAATAAGTATGATATAGAATGTGATGTTGATTATGACAGTGGTTTATGCTGTTTCAGGCAAGATTAATCAAAGGTGCCTTTTTTGTCCATGAAAAGAGCCCATCGATCTGTTGAGCAATTCTGGGATGGCAAAATCTGAGCAGTTAGTTTAGTGGCCAATCAGATAATTAGATGGAATAGGTGAAGACCAATCTATCTTTCAAATGTTGGGGTGCTGGGAAAGTGAGATTTGTTTACTCTGTTTAATTAGTCAGCAAAATCGTGTCTTGAAACCGCTATTTGATCCTTCATATCAATAGTTTTATTGACTGTTGGATGGTTGATGAGTTCAATCGTTCAACTTGATTTTACTTGTACTGGTATATTTTTGTTACTGTTGTACTTGTAATAGTACTTCTATGTTATTTTAACATGGTTTGACATTATTATGATTTTTAAGTATTTATATAACACTTGTTAATGTACATGTTGTGATTTGTATTATTATGACTTTATTTATAATTCTTTTTTGAGGGGGTATTTATGTAATAATAAGTTAGGCATTTTTATTGGGTTGGAGTGATTTTAAATCACTTCCAATCCAACAAAAAATGCCCCCCTTTTTTTTTAAAAAAAGCACCACTTTTCACCTCTGTTTTATAGAAACAGACGTGAAAAGTTGGCACTTTTCACTTCTGTTTTTCAAAACAGACGTGAAATTCACTTCTGTTTTTCAAAACAGACGTGAAAATTCCCATTTTTCATGTCTGTTCAAAACAGACGTGAAAAGTGGTTTGTTATTTACGTCACTTGATTTTATGTCCTCTAAAAAACAGACGTAAAAAAGCCTTTAAAACAGAAGTAAAAAGTATCTTTTGTGGTAGTGCACGAAAGGAAATATAGGAATATATAACATTCAAACTATAAAATCCAATCACAGTCAAATTTTGTCCAATTCAACAGAGATAACCAACTTGAAATATCAGTCTTTAACATTACAAAGCACCATTCTACAATCAGACTATTATCTCTATCCCAAGAAGCAATAAGAATTAGCCACTCATCATGTCAGACGCAGCAAGCTCAGAGGAAGAAGAAAGAGACGTGGTAGGCTATTCCTGGTAGTGATTAACGGCATGGTCGATGGTGAAGACAGAGGTGGAGGGCGCTGCTAATGATGAAGGTGATGGTGAGGGGTGGAAGCCGTCGTGGTTGAAGTTGAACAAAGTGGAGGGGGTAAGGTTAATGGATTCAAGGGAAAAATGGGATGGTGGTGTCGGCCAAAAATGAGCAAGGGAAGAAAACAATTTTGATGCCCTATTGGCTATTGCCAATCAAAACGCTGTGTTTCATTCTTGGTTCTTCTTAATATTTTCCCCCAATTTGTTGGTCCTTTGCTGTGATTTGGTATTGTCAGCTTTTATTTTCAATTTCTTTCAAGTTTCTTACAATAAAATCAAAGATGACGTAATATCATATCTTTCAAAAAAAATCAATCAATTTAAATAAATAATAAAATATGATATTTTTACTTTTTTTAGCTCTAATTTCATGCAATCATTGTTTATTCAAATTAATCATTAATTAATGCATTCAAGCCAAATAAATATGATAAGATCCCCAAACAAGATGTGAAAAATCATGATAATTAAAATAGAAAGTTATCATGGAGTCTTATATTTAAGACTAAATTAAATATCAAACTAGTGCTTATATCAAAGATCAGTAGTAGTACCTGTAAAATATACCTGTGTAATGTTAGATTACACTCCTTTTGGTCCTTATTATAAGAATTCACTAATTATTTACTAACTAATTCACATGTACCAATAAAACTAGTTAAAAATATTAAATACATCATAAAATTCAAATGATTTTTAATATTACTCTCATTAATTATATTAAATTCCAACATCACATTAAATTTTATTATGTCATTATCCTTATTGAATATAAGCATATATGGAAAAAAAAAAAGTATTTAATGCTCATTAAAACTATCAAAGCTCTCATAAAAAATGACCAAGAATTTCTTCTAGAAAGACTCTCATGATAAGGAATAGGAGAAATTCTTGTATGCTCCGACGTACCAGCTCACATCAACTCTGACCAATCAAAAAATAACACCTCATTCAGTTTTAATCCTAGTTGGCTCGTCACATAAACGGATCGCTGACAATGCCACGGGAAATGTGATTCCCATCCCTTCCCTTACCTTCTCCCGTCACCGCTATTATTTACTCTTCCCTCCTGCTGCATTCCTCTTCAATCACCCATGAAACCTTGCATTTGCATTGTACACACTTGCACATAATTTCAACCTTAAAAATTCCTTTTCCCATAAAAACCCCTTCACCGCAGAAGCAAACCCACGCACACATGCATGCCCTCTGGCCCCCTTACTATGAAGAGAATAATGAGAAAGGAAAAACCTTTGGCCCTCCAAGCAGTTACCCACAAAACCCAAAAAGCCAAGGCCATGGAGGAATTAATTAAACAATGTCTAAAATTTATAAAGTTCAGAATTTGGGAAAAGCCTTGAGAAGAAAATGAAAGGGAAGGAAGGGAAAAAGAGACGAATCCGATGACTTGGCGATGACCTTTCCGATAATGCTATAATTCGCAGTCAGTGCGAGAAAACAATTGATTTTTTAGTGGTGGTGAAGGGGGTGACCTTAGGAAAAACCAATTCGCGGTCGGTGTAGCATAAGAAGAAGGAGGAGGAGGTGTGGGAGGGTGATTGACCGTGGGGGGAGAGAGAGAGAAGAGAAGAGGAATGGGGTTGCCTGGAAGGAGGAGGACAGGAAGCTGTAGGGGGAGGGAAGAGAAAAGAACGATGGTGACATGAGAAGCCAAGGGAAGAGATGAAGATCATGTTCCTGTAGCGCCGTCAATCATCCGTTCACGAGAGGAGCCAGCTAGGATTAAAATTGAATGAAGTGTTATTTTTTGACTGCTCAAAGTTTATTTGAGCTGGCATTCCAAAAGCATACAAGAATTTCTCAAAGGAGTAGAGGGAATATAAGTTTATAATTTAAATAAATTTATTTTTTAAAAAATTAATAAATATGAAAGACAAAATATATTAAAAGCATCATATTTAATTAGAATACGGCCATGTGATTTGTCAACACCAAAGTGATCATGATATCAAGAGATCAGAAGAGATACTCCATGGGATTCTACTTTCATATAATATGGTACTAATATGGTTCAAGGCACGAGAAGAGCTAGTCGACAAAGACCATCCAATACGATAAAAATCATTTGATTAATAAATTCCCGTTTACATCACAGACGGAAGTTTCAAATTTTATATTATTGTGAGTGTGTATTACATACAGCCATAGATGCTCAAAGTGAAAAAAAAAAAAAATCTGTCACATAACCAAAATTTACGGATTAGTCACCACCCATATGAATCCTACCATAGTCCCTTGTGTAGTTATTTAAAAGATTGATCAGATCCCGAGTGCGCGAAAAAGAAATTCTGTTCAGTTTCTCACTTCCTCTTTCTCGTGTGTAGAAGAAAACAAATTTCTATTGACGAGGCCTCATAAGTAAGGATCAAAACATAGAAATCCGTGATGCAGGTCACTTCCAAATTGTTTAGTGGAAATTGACAAATCAAAGCAGTCTCAAAAACAAACAAAAAACATTAAAAAATGGGAAAATCCCAGAAAAAGCCCTTAGAATATACCAAATCCCAGATTGGGCCCTTAAATTTCGAAAATGACAGAATGGGTCATTGACCCAATTTGTCATTTGTGAAATTCAGGTGAATTGACATTTTTGCCCCTGAGCAAAAGTGAGTAGTTATTTTCTAAACAAATCTAGGTAACGCTTATACTGTTCTAGTGATTACAAGATTCGTTGTAGTTAATAATAAGGTACCTGACAATAATAAGATACCTGACTATGAAAAAATGAGTAGTTATTCTCTACACAAATCTAGGTAATGCTTACATTGTTCTAGTGATTACAGCATTAGTTGTAGTTAATAACAAGACACCTGACTATGAAAAAGTGAATAGTTATTCGCTATACGAATCTAGGTAACACCTAAACTCTTATAGTGATTCCTTGAATCATTGTAGTGAATGAATAAATGAGGGCAAAATTATCAATTCGCCTGAATTTCACAAATGACAGATTGGGTCAATGACCCATTCTGTCATTTTCAAATTTAAGGACCCAATCTGACATTTCCCATATTCCAAGGACTTTTTTGGGATTTTCCCTTAAAAATTGAAGCTTAGCACAATGGACACCGACCCTTCGCTCACAGTGTGTTGATTTCCCTGAAAACAGAGCCTGTTTAACTTTTCCATCTTCACTCTTCTCCCTCTCATACTCCCAGACATATCTTTCCTTGTGCCGTCCCGAGACTAAGCGTGAAGTTCCGGCGGAGAAGCCTCCCACGTTTTACCCGCCGGCGATATCTCAAGATTCAGGTGCTTCCCCATGTTATCTGCTGTGTTTGGATGTTTGAGTCCTCTGGCTTTGTCTTCACTTGATCTGATCTACCTAGCGATTAGTTTTATGTTTCCTTGTTTTTACAAATTTCTGTGTCATTAGCCCCTGATTGATGCAATTCTGATGTATCATATCTGTTCAAGCATTCTGTTTTCAGCTGCTATAAAGATCCACCCTCTTAAATCTTTTCTTTATTTTAATGTAGTTGTCTAGGAACTCCATTACCTGAAGTCTCAAGAAATCCAACAAATATTATTGAGAAGATGAGTTCGCTGATAGGTTCTCAGATTCCTGTTATAGACTTGACGGATGAAAACTTAAAACCTGGTTCAGAGAAATGGTTTTCAGCTAGCCAATTGATGCGGGGTGCATTAGAGACTAATGGCTGTTTTTACGTAATGAGTAGTAAGGTTTCTACGGAGCTTCACCACTCAGTACTTGCTCTAATGGAAGAATTGTTTGATCTTCCGCTTGAAACAAAAAAGCAAAAGACCAGCGACAAGCCTTATCATGGTTACTATGAACGAACTCCTCGAGCCCCTTTGTATGAATCCGTTGGAATTGACTTTGATGACCCCATTAATAACGAAGCAATTCAGAAGTATGCCAACATCATGTGGCCGACAGGACATGATCATTTCTGGTACTGCTCAAAACTTGGTTTACGTTGTTTTCTTGTTTACCTTTCTGCTTATACTTGAATTTTCTGCAGTCATTAATTGTTTTCTTCATTGTTTGAGTAGTGAGACGATCAATCTGTATGCAAAGTTGCTAGTTGAAATGGACCAAACTGCTAAAAGATTACTGTTTGATGCTTATGGTTTGGAAAAAGACACTGTGATTCCCTGCTTGAATCAACCAGTTACATGCTCCGAGGTTTTAAGTACCTAGTACCTCAGAATAATGAGAATAATTTAGGATTGCATGCTCACACAGACGTGACATACTTCACCATACTGCATCAGAATAATGTGAAAGGTTTGCAAGTCAAACTGAAAAGTGGTGAATGGATTGATGTTGATCCCTCACCCTGCAAGTTTCTGTTCCTGGCTGGTGATGCATTAAAGGTGGGTTTTTTCATTTTCATATATCTTTATCTCAGAAAACTGCTTCTTTTTTTTTTTCAAAAAAAAATGCTCCCATTGACAAGTGAAAGCTTATTTGATATTTTAGATTTGGAGTAATGACAGAATACAGTCTTGCCAGCACCAAATCATCGTAAAGGAGAAGAAGAAAAGGTTGTCCGTGGGATTATTTTCATTTAATAATAAGAAAGTCCAGACACAAGAAGAGCTAGTTGATGAGGACCATCCAATACGATATAAATCATTTGACCATTATGAATACATAACATTTCGTAAAAATTTTCCATCACAAATTTCCAGTTTTCTTCTGCTGCATGATGGAAGAATGACCTTGAATGGAAAGGACAAGGATAAATAATGATGAAGTCTCTCTCTCTCTCTCATGTTTCCTTATAACTCTTCTCACCAGTTCTGTACCCTCTCCTTCTGTTAGTTTCTTCTTCTTTCTGTTGGCCTCCTGTTATCTTCAAACATTTTCCTCCCAATGATTGTAATATATTTTTACTTTTGAGTGCTGTGTAATAGATTGTGATCCGTTAGGACCAGCCTGGATTGTCGACGCATCTTTGAATATATATTCACATGCGCACACGTGCACGCGCACACCCACACCCACACCCACACCCACCCGGATTTGGATTCTCTCTACTACTCTTCCCGTCATCTTCCCCTTCACACACACAATAAGTTGATGCTCTACAAAAATGAAGTTGTAGTACAATTGCTCTAATAAACAAAGGTAATAGAAATTGCATTGGAATGCTACCTCTACACGATTATGGACTTGTTTGGATTAACTTATAAGTAGCTTTTCAAATGTGATTTACGGAATACGAGGTAAGTATATAAGAAGAGCGTAAACTTGCTTAGAAGTGCATTTTGAACGGAGTTCCAAACAAACCATATATTGCTATGGACAGTGATACATTTGTACATAGTGAGACCAAACTAAACTAAATGAGTCAAGACATTGATTAAAAAATAATAATATTTCATCCTCAAGTTAACGGAGGATAAAAATTATTACTTTCTTTTAACTACTACCTTGAGTCCTTAATATAAAAATTAGTTTAATATTCAATTTAGTCCTAAATATGATATCTCAATCCATTTTGCATCACGTATTTATTTATTTTGCCCTCAAGTAATCTCCATAGTGATCACATATGTTAAAGAGTTACTATTAAAGGTAATTTGAATGTACATGATTAAGAAGGATACAAATGTACAAATAACTAATTTAACTAACTTTCTTAATATTCACAAATTAATTATTTAGTTCTTGTATTAAAGACTAGAGGTAGTAATATTTAACCATTGATCAAAATTAAAGTACTGAAGAAATAAGAGTATATTTTTTTATTGAATTTAAATTCCTTAAGTATGCAGATAACTTCAAATTGCGATCTGTTATTAATACATGCACGTGATTATTCAAAATTCTTAGCATGAGAACAAACATTTCAGCTTCTTAGTCAATAAGCTCGTAATTTCTAGATAAAGAACCGTGTCTTTCAATAGCGGCTTTCCCAAGCACAATAGACACTTCCATTGTTTAATTTTAGGGAACATCGTTATAAGGTCCTAAGAAAATATATATATATATATATATATATAATTATCCAAAAGTCTCTATAACAAACGAGCAACATGAACTTATTGTCATTGTCTATACTGAAACTTGACATTTACTTGTTATGAGATGTTTTTAGTAGTTGTGTTTCTTTCTTGAAGCCACATAATGATTTTCCCTTAATTGAAAAACTTTAGCCTGTTAGCAGCCTAGCTGAATTACTTGCAAGAGAAGGAACTAATTCAAAGTAGCTTTTAAATGTGTGTGATTAGTTGCATACACATTTTTTTTTGTTAAAACATAAATATCCTCTTATTGAAAGTAATCCTATTCAAGACACTGTCGAGCACTAAATATGAACATCTCTTCCAAAGGGAATTAGAATCTTGATTCGTTGTATACGCTTTTATATGCATGTGAATCCATTAGCAAGATGCATTAGTTCATGGACCATTCTCTATGCCAAGTTGCAAGTAGAAATGGATCAAACCACGAAAACAATATTGTTTTATGCATATGGTTTGGACAAACGAGGAAATGATTCCCTACTTGAATCAGCCAATTAACTACATGTTTTAGAGCTTCAAATATCTAGTATCCTAGAAAATAGAGAATAATATGGGATTGTAAGCTCCCACATCCACCTTAAAGAAAAGGATTATTTCCCATGAATCAGAAGAAAGGATCTCACCCAAAGAAGAAGAAGAAGAAGAAGAAAGGATGTTAAATGAAACTGGATTTTGCAATAGTTGTCTAGCGAAGGAATGTAAAACTGTGTTGGCGTGTTGAAGGCAACTTTCTTTGCATTGATAAGTTAAGAATACAAGTATGACATTACTGTGACTATTCTACATATGGTTGTACATCAATATGAGCAGCATTAAGCTGGCACAAGAAAGGAAACTATATGAGGGTACAGGGAAAATTTTGATCATAAACTATAAAAGAATCTTTCATGTAAGTTGATAGAGTCAAATTCTATCGCCTCTGGAAGTTGAAGACTTTGATTGAAACTGCAAAAATAAAAGCAAAGAGTACTGCAAACCCGACAACCGCGGCTGCACAAACTCCTACGAAGCTATGTTTGAAGCCAAAATAACTCCTTAGAACTCTCGGACAGTTTCGTTCTCTCCATCCATAGTTTTTGTAATATCTCCAAACTGTGATGCAACCAGTCCATACAAGGTCCAGGACACAGGAGATGCCCAGTAGTACCATCTCCACCACACAGGAATGCTCTGTAATGATAAATTTAAAAACAAAAAACAAAACAATTAGAAAATGGAAGATAATTATGTCCATCAATTCACATAGAAGACTGAAATCTGTGTTTAATACTCTAGAAATTCGAGAATCACTTACGGGTCGTGGACAATGAATCCAGAGAGAGATTCCAGAGTCCGTAGAATGCGGCAGAAACAATGGCAGCGACATGGTGATTTGGTGTGACAGCCACTCCCATCATGCCATAGAAGGTGAAGTACAACAATGTGAAGAACATGAAGAACAGATACCAGAAAAACTTCTCCGCAGTCCATTCAAATCCAATCATGGCATATACTATATGAGTCCATACGTGACAGACAGCTTGGACAAAAATATATGGTATCTCTATTAAAACCTGTGACAAATAACTCTATTAGATTTGAGATCATGATTAAAAAAATTCTTTGTTAAATAATTTTACTATTTTCAGTTACCTGTGCAAATGCATAAGGTAAAGCAGAGTACATTCCGGCGGCTCGTTCTCTATAAAACACAGCTCTTTCAACTGCTACCACTGGTTGTACAGAAGAAGAGTTCTGAACACCAAGGAAGAGAACGGCAGTATACATAGAACCCATGGCATTAAACAAGTCTTGTCTGCTTGAGCTGTTGAAAGTTGCCCAAAAGAATCGCATCAGAACTGAAGTGAAAGATATAGATTTCTAAGATTAGCAAGTAGTTAAAAATAAATAAATAACTTACGTTTTGGTTCCGAGGTTCCAGAACATTGTTCCAAACATCAACGCTATGAAAGTAGTGAAGAGGAACCTCACAGCAGTGTATGGAGGATTTCTCCAATATGACCAATGTTGTTTCCATAAGCAAGCCAAGGATTGGACCCAAAATGACTGTGAGTACTGGGTGGGGAAATAAAGATCATTTGAACCTGGTGCAGGCTTGCCAAGATCTTCTATAAGCTGCTTGTTTCTCCTGAAAAGTCATACGTAGCAGTTTAGGAATTTAGAATGACAACAATATGAATGTCACTCTAGTCATTAGGCATTATATTCATAGCTATGAACTCACCTGTACAGGTCAGAGTTTCTGTAGATCTCAGTAAAATCAACACCTAAAGCAACCTCTTGTGCTGAAGTTGTGACTTCCAACATCCAAGTTGCTGGATTATAGCCGTCTTTGATTTTGCTCACGCCATCAATGCTCTACAAAATGAAAATATTGGAAAATCAGTGATCGCTGCTGCAATTATAGCTTGCTCATTGGAAATAACTGACTTTTAGTTGCCTCCTACCTCAAAGTACTTGATTAGTTGGCTAGAATGATGACCCAATGGTCCTACATATATCTCCTGTCCTCCACGCTTCATCAAGAAAAGCTGAGATCACAGTAACGTACAAACGTCAGATCCCCAGTCTGGTAAAGAATAACAGTACAAAACGCAAGCTTCATTGATTATTATGATTTGTTACCTCATCAAAAGCTTCAAATATGTCAATGCTTGGCTGATGGATGGTGCACACAACAGTTCTTCCAGTGTCCACCGTGTTCCTAACTGTTCTCATAACAATTGCAGCAGCTCTTGCATCTAATCCAGAAGTAGGCTCATCCATGAAAATTATAGAGGGATTAGCCACTAGTTCTACTGCAATTGTTAACCTCTTGCGTTGTTCAGTTGAAAGACCACTCACGCCAGGCAAACCAACCAGGGAGTTCCTCAATGGGTTCAGCTCCACAAGTTCCATGACTTCCTCAATAAACATCTGTAACAATTCATCAAATCCAACAATAAGACTAATCGGCTTTTATGTCAAGAGAAACTTTATGTTCAGGCCCAAAAAATGAGCAAATTTAAGGAAGTGTACTGCTTGGCTTTTGATGCTAACCTCTCTGGTTTTAGAATCAACCTCTTGAGGCAGACGAAGCCATGCTGAGTAGAGCAATGATTCATAGACAGTAACATGTGGGGAGTGGATATCATTTTGCTCACAATAACCAGCGACTCTAGCAAAAGTTTCTTGCTTTTTAGGGTATCCTGAAATGTTGATGCTCCCATCAATATATCCACCAGTTTTTCTACCAGCCAAAACATCCATCAGAGTAGTTTTTCCAGCACCACTGACCCCCATTAGCGCTGTGAGAACACCAGGCCTAAATGCTCCACTGACACCCTTTAGAAGTACCAATTTGTCCTCAAGTACACCTTGATCTTTCATTTCCTGCCATTTTTATATCAAAAGTGTTGGAACTCAAATAAAATACTCAACCACTGCTAGATTCAAGTCTAGAAATGATTTTTACCTGTGGCATGTCAACAGAGTATACAATTTCATCAAAAGTGATAGAGTGTGGCTCAAAAGGAAGAACCATTCCCCTTTTCCTTCCATGGCTGGAATCCGTAACAGAACCAGCTACTCTACCATTTTGCGAACTCACTACAAGAAAAAATGAGACCTTATTCAGCATCAAAGGCATGCTATTTGTTACAATTCAGCTGCAACATAGCTAGCATACATAGTTACCTATGCGTGGTAACTCAACTCCTTGGGCTCGGTGATTAGCTGCACTGTCTTCTGGTTCTTCATGTATTGTTGCCTGCGGCTTATCAAAAGCTGCAAAATCATTCATCTCGATTAACTAAAGCCATGCATCACTCCGACATGATTTTTTTTTTTCCAAAGCAGCAGATACTTACGGTTTAGAAATGATAGAGCCAGTGCAAA